CGTATTGAAACTTTCAAATCCAAATAAAAGGATAAAGGATAAAGCATTTGCCGTTGATCAATCCCTTTTTGGGATGCGGCACGCATTCTACTTCCATTTGTACATTCGCAGTGGCGTTTGAATGCGATGTGGCCTATACAATGACTTGCGGGGCCAGCCGATGTACAAGTCAGTGTTTTTATCCTCCCAGACAAGTCTGGTTACCAAATGACACACGGAGCTGAGACGGGTGCTTCTCACTTTGCACACCACTTCGGACATTGAGATGATGTTGCGCGTCTCACCCTTGTCATCCCTTTTTCTAGCGCGTGCGGCTTTCTTCCCAATTGTTTGTCTCTATTCTATGGATTACAACATAACATATTGTAAACGACATGGGTCCGGTATGGTCAAATATGCTCCAGTTTAGCAGAAGTTTTCAAAGTGGAGCGAAACTGGTAGCTCGGTCCATTCTTCGTTTTCTTGGCACAACCACATCAAAGGTATTTTTGACATCCACTGCAGTGAAAATGACCGAAATTCCCTTTTTCACTGTCACACGTCCTTTTGATCGGAATTTTGCCACTATATCCGCCATCAATATCAGCGACTTGTTGTCAACGGTTCACAGGAGAGGTGATGCCGCTTCTGAAAGGTTGGTAGTTCCGGTGTGAAAAAGAGCAGTGAGGTCGACTTTGAGCTTCTTCTTTGATTCGTATTTTATGTCTATAAGATGATTCTTCAGCAAGAAAGATGGAAAGCCTTCGGAAGGAGGCTGATCACAGCTCAAGGAAGATCCGTAGGAGTTCCCAACTGGATTTCGAGATTCAAAGTTCCGTCTTTTTTTCGAACACCTGGTCTCGGTTGCCGTGGATTACATATATTGTTGGATTTGGGGCGGGTTGCTTAAAGTCTCCAGCCGGCATTGACTACAGGAAACGTGGCTTCTTTCAACGTCGAATCTAGGAAGATGTTTTGGACGCTAATTTTAAATTTCTCTAAAACAGCCTAAGACCAGAAAAGAGTAGGTAAAAGTGTGCGTAGAGTTGCCTGGTTCGAATTAGGGAGGCCCACCTGCGGTGATCAAGGTATTTCTAAAAAGGACTAAGTTTTTCAATAACAAAAATCGTAAGTCGGTAGAAGAAAGCAACGTCTACGGTGTTTCCAGCATTCTTGAAAGAGCGGGGCTCTCTTACGTGGGCGAAGCCTAGCCTTGAATCCAGTAAGAGTCGGGGTATCGTCCCAAAAGTCAGTCCTTTCCGAAGTGAGAAAGAGGGGTCCTCAAGGGCGAGGCACAAAAGTGTTACTCGACTCAAATGTTTGAGGCAACAGCGCTAAAGCCTTGCCTTGGTGCTGCCGCGCTGCCATCCTTAGCAACCACGGCATACGCGGTCTCTGCCCCCTCTCGCATAAGACTTGCTGTCTGGCGTTCTCTTCAGTAAGTGTTGTACCTCTTCATACCACGGCAGGCCCCATGCGGAAGTTTAGTATTTATGGTGCTTTTGCGTTTTCCCCCGCTGATGCTCATAACCAATCAAACCAAATACCTCATCAACTCGATCTCGACTCGTAGCTTTAAGTAGACATATTCTCCACAAACCCTCGTTATTAACTATTCACTTTTCAGAGCATGGGAAAAAGTGGATAGAAGTTGGCGGAAAGCGGTCGGCAACCACTGTTTGGCCTGGCTTAAAGAGTGGAGCGAAGTCTCACTAAAATGCCATAGCTGGGCCGAGAAGTTACAGAAACCAGAAGCAAGTGGATGGAGGTAGGCAAAGAAAGATATTTCGAGTGCTACCAGTGTGTAGGTGTGCATGCAAGAGGGAGAGTTTCTTTCGAAACATCATAATTCAGTTCTGGGAAGTACTGAAGGCCGGAATGAGAGGCAGAAATTGTTGGACTTTCTTAGGGGATGAAAAGTGCTCAGAACTGAGATAAATTCCTTATAAACCTTCTTTCTCGAGGTGGGATCGAGAACGTTGACAGCCTTGAAAACAATAAAAGACGCTGTAAGTGGAAAACAATGGCCACCATCTCCTCAATCAATTCATATCATAGTAATTTGCTCAGAAGTGATGGAAGGCTGCCTTCTGTCGAATGAATCCGGAAATTGATTCAGAATTCGTGTGTATCGCTACTGTTATCGTATAACTTCGTATAATGAGAAATACTTAGATACTTACTTAGATACTTAGACGACCCGTTGATCAGCACGGCGGTTGGCCTTGCGCGGGTCCCAACTTCTTTTCCATTGCTCGCGGTACTATATGAAAAATATCTAGCAATACGTAACTTTTTAGTTTGATTTTTTGCCCTGATGTTATCTTGTGTGATATTACACTCAACATTTCCTGTCAAATGCAGATCACTAAAACCTGAAAAGCTGTCTTCATGTGTCCCCTTTCGTTGCAATGTGGAACCCTGGTTAGGATATGTTCACTTATTCCAAATTTAGAGGCCAACCCTGCAAGTGCTCCACAATATTTCAGTGCTCATACATTGTGTATGAGAAAGCACGTGGTTGATTGCATTCGCAACTAAAAGCACTGCCCACTGAGCAACAGCATTACTTCACAAGAGTAACAACTCGCTGATAGATGGGGTATGTCGGGGAGAAGGGAATCCTATGCCGAGAGCTTGGCGAAGTATCACATCCATCGCTCTGGCTGAAAATTATTTCCACAAAACATGTACTTTGTTATTGGGCGCCTTTCTGGGACGATTTCTGATGTGCAGAACACGAAACGTTTTCCAAGCCACACAGAATTCATTTATGAGCAACTACACATCTGCTTCGCCACCGGTGATAAAGTACATACACAGGATAATGGTGATGGATATAAAAGGTTCAGGATTGAGTGCGACCTTGACCCGTCGTGTTGGACCTTTGCCCTCATTGGCCTATAACATCGACAAACCTTAAGGGATGCCAACTGATTGTTTTGGCGTCGTGTCTGGGTGGCACACACAAAATGTGCCTGACGTACAGGCGCCGGTTTGAAGAGCTTGATAATGCTACTCAAACCTTCTCAAAGAAGAGTTCAAAGAAAAGACATTTGTACGTGTTCTCACAAATGTTAGGTTTCGTGAAAAATAATAGTATGCTTTGAACAGTTATATGGAATATGTTGCAGGATCCCAAGGATTACGTCCAGTCATATCAGCTGTTTACGCGCGATTGCTTAACAAGACAGACTCACTTCGTCAATGGCGTTTTTCACAGAAGGGTTCGTTGCATTCTCCTACATGTGACATGAAATTTTAGTAGCGTACAGTACCTTTACTCTTATTGTCATGGATCTCTTCCAGTCAAAAGTGTGAGAGATGAAGCTTGATAGGTTCCCCACATTAAGAACAACCACACGCTTACCGCCTACGTCATCACTGTACGGAATGGAACGGAACGGGTCTTCTCGAAATTGCGTCCAAACGGATTCTATGGTAATTTGTACAAGGATTAATTGTGGCGAGCTGACTTATTCATCTTCATAAATGCTACAAGATTTGTGAAAAGAAACGTCTCGAATAAATTTCAACCGTCGGCGTATTTTCTTGGCAGTAGTTTCATACAGCACTTTCACTTCATGCATAGTTACAGATTCACTATGAATAGTATCGAAAATTAAATAATTGAATGCCTCAAAAATTGAAAGGTTGTAGATCTCTCCTCTCAGGTGTGACGCCCATAATGATCTACTTCAATCATCTACCCCCAGGCAGGGTCAACCCTACTTTGCGACAAGTACCAAAAGGGGGTCGTGTTTGGTTCAGTTTGTAGGGGGTTCGTACTGTCTCGGTAAAAGTCAGTGGGAACAGAGCCCTTCACATCGCACAGACCCAGCCATAAAAAGAAAGATCTGCAGAAATAAAGCAGCAGGACTTGTAGTAGCACTGTTCAAAAAAAGTGCTTTCACCATGACATGGATCCAGCCGAAAGCACATATGAAAATAAAGTGGAGTATGCTTGAGACAATATGGTTAGTAGCCAGCACGTGAGGTATACGTGAGATGACTGATATCGGAACATCCATGAACCCCTTCCTTTGGAATGAGTCCTCAAGTAAATCAGCGAATTAGAAGCGTGTCCGAGGCGTGACGCACACCAAGGCAGGGGATATCAGTGCAAGCGCATGGTCAAGCTTCTGACACATCATATATTTCAACGAAATTGCTTTCCCTGGAGATTTTACGGCCAGTTGAAACCTAAAAAAAACTTTGCGTTTCCAAGAAATGGCTTGAAGAATTCCCTCTAAAAAAGTCACAACGGGACTAACTTTTGAACTGCTGAATTTTCAAGAACGTTCGGAGACTTTTTAGAAATTTTTGACTTGTTTTTGTTTGTTAACTGCTGTTTTTGGCCGCAGTTCGCCTTGCGAATGTTTCACAAGAATGCTGGGTTGTGAACAAAACTTTCGCCCCAGGCGGGACTAGAACCCGCACCTCTCGCTTTCCGGGCAAGTGCGCTACCAGTTACGCTACCGGGGCACCATTTCAACCCAACACGTTATACGTGTGAGTGCTGAAAGCTATGGTACGTATACCATGAAAAGCTGAGTCCGCTAGCGTAACTGGTAGCGCACCTGCCCGGAAAGCGAGAGGTGCGGGTTCTAGTCCCGCCTGGGGCGAAAGTTTTGTTCACAACCCAGCATTCTTGTGAAAACTTTCAGAAAGTTTGAGTCCTGAAGTTTGTCAAAGTTATGATCGTTCAAATGTTAAAGAGCCGCATTTGCATAGAAAAAAGTTCCAATGTGCTAAATTTTTATTAAATTAGCTTTCGAAGAGAGGAAAAATCTTTTTTTTTTCAAATCAAATAACTTCGGCGCAATAGCTTGAATATGAAGGAAAAATTGTAGTGTAATTTCAGCTCTTGGTTAATGGCTTTCATTTCAAATTGTTAAAGAACAAATGCGCTTCTACTTAGAAGGAATCCAATGAGCCTCAGGGATCCAGAATCCACCTCCACCTTCTGAGGTACCTGAGATTTAACGAAAAAAAAAATCGTCCATATTTCAATGACCCCGTTCGCAACCTGTTCCCGACCAGCAACATCGTCAGGTTGCGATTCATCACATTCAAAACACAATCACTATGTGTGTCTCCATTCCTTTTGACGCACATCTTATTTCTAGCTAGATTATTATTACACCGGTCATATCGCCCGGCTAAGCCGGGCTCTGCTCCTTCTTGGAGTCGGAATGTCCGGCTGACGTGGGGCAATCCTCCCATACGCATATGTCTTATAACATCCATCGATTTAGATCAACCCCCTCTCCGATTTTGCGCTCAATCCCTTCACAGCGTGCTCAGACTGCATTTATTAACGTGCCATCTTCTGGCAGTTCGCGATCAGATGGGTGGTATTATTGGGTGGCGATACTTAGTTTGAAGTTGCTAGAGCTGAGTACGGTAGCGTAATTAGCGGATTACTGTAGCGCACGGCAGGTCACTTCGCACATTCCCAAAATAGCCTGTGGGATGACCCCACTTAATTGCCTGCGCTGGATGCTGACATTTCTTGGCAGCTTCAAAATAAGCAAAACGAAGTGTGGGGTGTCATATATCAGAGTGAATTAGTGTGTTCTGAACTGAATAAATCTCCAATATTATAAAACTATTAATCATTACAAATTTACTAAAGCGAGGTGGAACAAAACTTTAGAAATGTACTATTGACTTGCTATAGTAAAATATAACAGTTTAGTTGCAACAGCCTGACCTGGTTGACTCACCCACTTGAATTGATTACGGCCATCAATCACATACTTTATCACTGCTGGAGGACACAATTTTATTAGGTCGTGAAGAAAGTTCTTGCGCTTTTCGACCTTGATTTTCAAATGCCTGTATCTCGGCTCATTCGAAACCTTTTTGATTGAGAGTAAAGACTGTTAGAATCCACAAACCTCTGCCAATAATAGCTGCGTTGAATCAGCCCGGTAGTGCAGAATACTGGAGCTCTAGAGACGATGAACCCGGCGGAGGTCGTTTCCGCATCATGTTGGTTTTTGAAGCATAACTCTTTGGAGAAGCTATCCAGGTAGTCGAGAAAGTGACAAATTATAGGCAAAAGGTCTACCGAGTAGGATATGTTCGCAGGACTAATTCGTACTAATTCGAAGTGGAGCACTTTTGCAGAAAAATGTCAAAATACGTTACTAATAAAGCAATATAATTGTTGAATATGTATATATATAGCAATCATGCATTTTTAGTTTTGTTTCCACCTTCGTTTTTAGTAATTTGTATGGTATTAATAAAGTTTCATTTGATATTCAAAAATTTATAGTTCAAAACACTAATTCACTCTGATATTATTCCACACACTTCGTTTTGCTTATTTTGAAGCTGCCAAGAAATGTCAGCATCCAGCGCAGGCAATTAAGTGGGGTCATCCCACAGGCTATTTTGGGAATGTGCGAAGTGACCTGCCGTGCGCTACAGTATCCGCTAATTACGCTACCGTACTGAGCTCTGGCAGCTCTAAACTAAGTACATACACCTCTATTATCTAAGCACGTAAGTCTCTCAAAAGTGGCATGTACCTGCGTCCACCTCTCACTACATTTTCTTGCCATCATTCTCCATCACAAATCAATATCTATTTCTATAGATGTGATATGATGGCAAGAAATATGTAGTGAGAGGTGGACGCAGGTACATGCCACTTTTGTGAGACTTACGTGCTTAGATAATAGAGGATCCATCTCTCCAAAAACTGACAAAGATGGCACGGTATAAATGCAGTTTGAGTACGCTGGTAAAGGGATTGAACGCAAAATCGGAGAGGGAGGGGGGTGATCTAAATCGATGGGTGCTATACGACGTGTGCGGATGGGAGGAATTGCCCCGCGTCAGCCGGGCATTCCGACTCCAAGAAGGAGCAGAGCCCGGCGTAGCCGGGCGATGCGCCTGGTTTTCAGTAAAGTTCGATAGAGACCCGTGAACGCGTTGACTTCCGCCTTTCGTTGATATGGAGATCGCTGACCATGACCCCGCGAAAGTGTGAGGTTTTCTGACTCCTGCACTTCATCAATGCTGTGAACCGCTACCGCATTATAAACTTCCGCAGAAGAAGAGTTCTTTTCAGTTGACATCGATCGATAGTACGTGGCCCGAAGGAACTCTACAGCACCCAATAAGTACTGCAGAATTCCTTCGGGCGTTTCCCAACCCCAATCGAGCCCTCTGCGCAGAGACTTACATTTTTTCAGTCTCGATATGACAGATTAGACGATCCATATGGTGGATATTCGAATCTCAAGCCTACATTAGGGAAAAGGTGCTGAGTCGTTGGGGGGGGGACCATGCGGCGGCGCGGCACTCTGCTTGCCTGGAACGCTTGCGTACTTCGGGAAATCCGTGAGCCAGGGAGAGTGTAGGCAGACTTAGGTGAGGGGGTGTGAGGGCAGTCACTTGGCATGCGTGAAAGCTGGAATATTCGAGCTTATACTATCTCGTTCGAGAGAGCACCAGGTTCAGAGTGAAGCACCGCCGCGTAGGTGCCAAACCCAATCAACTTAGTACCGAAAAACAAAGGCCGAATCACAGGTGGTTGAAAAAATGATGAGGCTTGCAAGTGGATCTGGAAGAATGTTGCCCAATGGGGCAGGGGGTGGGGGGGGGGCAGACAGTCGCCACCACGACGCATGGCGTGTTCACGACATGATTGGAACTCGTCATTCCAGCTTTTCACGCACGTCAAGTGAATGCCCTCACCCCCACCCCCCTAAACTGGCTACACTCCTCTGGGTCACAGACTCCCCTCCCCGCATTGTGAGGAAATTTTAGCTAGCAAAATTCAAACGTCTAGGATTTTCAAGAAATCACTGCAGGTGGAGGCAGCGGGTCCCGCAGCGAATAGCGACCTTGAAAGACAAGCAAAAGGCTCCAGTCAGCAGGAGTATCAAATCATCGTTCCTAGTATGTGAACTGAAGGAACATCCACTTTCTCTACAGCATCTCATCAGTACTGCGATTACTAACTCCAATGGAACCCTCTGCACAAAAACCGATATTTTCGATCGATATCGATCGACATCCATGAGTCGATGAAATTTCTACTTTGCTTACAGCCCCCATTCGGTAATGTAATTTGCTACCTCATTCGAGCCCTGTGCCTAGAGACCGATATTTTCGATAGAAATTTTGGCCCCGCCCCTTGCATCGAGCTCCGCCCCCTATCGTACAAACTCTTTACCAATTCCCACATCATGCGAACATGCCTCAAAAGCAAATTCCCTTCCCATCCGGGACCATCTCCCAATTGTTCTTCGGTCCACGTAGTAAACGGCCTAGTGGTTAAAAAAAAACAGATAGGCACAACAAACTACTGCTTTATACATAGAAGATTACCCAATCAATAATGTGTACTACTATTCTTTTCGAGGCACCCGCGCAAAACCGACACTTCGATTGAGATCGCTCCATGACCCGTGAAGGCGTGAT